TGTATGTTGGCATATTGTGGCAGTATTTTATCGCCGTTTAAAGTTACGGATTTGGTTCTTTGTTATTTTTTTTTAGTTGGCAGAAATATACTAGGAGCATAGTTGAATACGTGGTAGGAACGCAGTTTGTTTTTTATCGCATTTTTATTGCTCTAGTTTTTTTTGGCAGATGTTTTCCTCGTTTTATTAGCTAGAAGAAATCAAATTCAGTTATTTAGGAGCTCTATTTTATATGGTCTGGTTAATTATGAGTACAGCCAACGGTAATGTTGTGACACAGAAATTTATACAAGGGCAAGAAAGTTAGACTTGTAGATGAAAATTAAAGATGTCCGCTTTGCATCAGTTAAGTAATTTATGTTCACATAATCTAATCTAGTGGACATGTATTGTTTTTGTGTCTGGGTATGATTCTGGAACAGAGGGTTGGGATAGCAGTTTTATGAATGCAGTATTGCTGTCATCGTTGTAATTTTTTGTTAAAACTCATTAATGACTGGATTGTTCAAATTTGCAAAACTAGGGTTTTTAAGCTGCTGTATAACGAAAATGCGTTTTCGAAAACTTGTGAAATAGAGGGAGAAATAAGGGGATATTTTGTACTTTTTTCTTTGTGATATCTAAGCGTCCTTAACAGTTTTCACGAATTGTTTGTCCTTGCTGCCTGTTGCATTTACTGTAAATGTAACCTTTGGTTTTCTGTACTGTTGTCTGTAGTTTTTGCTCATTTTTTCTTACGGGTTTGTTTTGTGAGAAGAAAACCTGTTTTCGAAGTTTGCCAAGTTGTGACGTTAGCTGACTCTATTGTACAGAATTTTTTTTAACTTTGGTATCTGTGGTATTCCACAAAGTATTAGGTGTCGCTAATTTTTAATCTGGAAATGGCATACGTTGTCATTAAAGCGTTTTGCATAAGTGTAGTTTTTTAGGTTGTCTGAATAAGAAGTTCCTTGTATCTTGAATGCACTGTTTTTGTTCTTGTGCGGAACCGTTTAACAGGGGTTTATCCTTGTTACCTAATCGTTTTCTGTGGTTGTCCAACTTGTTGTGTTAGAGATGAAGTTCAAATTTATTTCTTGACGGGTGATGGATAAATTGAAAATGCGTTTTCATTTTTCACGGGATTGAGATAGTTCTTGTAGAAAAAGACACAAAGAATGGGAATTCTGAATACTGCAATATTCAAAGAGTGCTAAGATTGAATTTAAGCAATTGTCGTTGGTGTCTTAACATCTTTTACGTACTGGTAAAGGAGCAATTGTTGACTGTGGTTTTGGGAAAAGGTGTGATGGAAACGATAAGTGAAAAAGTTATAGATTTTATTATGCCTATATTTATGAGATGAACAAATACAATGATGCTTGGACTTTCCTGGTTTGATAAGTTGGGATCCCTAAGATCAGTCTAAAATTTCTTGGTGAGTTCTCATTCTTGTTCGAAAAGCTTCTGTTCCACATAATCTTCGAACTTTTGTTTCACATCACGTATTGATGACAGTAAATTTCGATGTCAGTAATAAAGTTGCTGAGACTTTAATGAGAGTTGAAGAAACTTCTCAGGAAATTACATGAGCATTTGGGAGAAATGAAAAAAAAAAAGAACAAGTTCAAGGGAGTGAACGTTTGCATGACCATTGCTAATTCCGATAGAATGTATATGGTGTGTGATTTTAGGGTTAAGGAATACTCGGAATCATTATTAAGACGGTTGAGACGAGTATCAAGTACTTTCTTTTGTTTAGTGTTTCTAATGTTGTTTGTTTTCTGTTTGAGGCTTTGTATATGCGGTGAAAAAAACGAGGCTATCAGTGGTGTGAAACGAAAAGAAAGCAATTTAAGTAAAAAACGCCTGCGTGTATTTTGTCCGCGCATAATTCTGGAATGCCTCGTCGCAAGGTCAATGAGAATGGTTCCACAGCGGCGAACAGCGGTGGGACGAAACCACGTTCCAGACGGATAAAAAAAGATGCGAACGCAGCGATGGAGCAAAAATTGGATCTGGTACAGATGTACGATGCTCAGGCTCCGTCGTCGGTGCAGCAGGTCCCAATGATGCATAATCACAATGGGATGATGAACTTACACGATGACAGCGGACCGATGTCGAGCCATAATCTGTACTCATCACCCGCTGGGTCGATGGCTGGCCCACCGCCTCCAGAGTACTATCAACCAATGCCACAGACCTATCAGTCGGGTATGTTGCCACCCCCACCAGCACCAACGGCTCCTCCGCCGCCTCATGGAGGACAAACGCCACAGCAACCTTCACAGCATCAGTTTATGGAGCCAGATCCTCCACAAAGTCCATATATTAATCAGCCATCTCATATGCAACAACACAATCACATGATGATAAGGTGAAAACTACAAGTGATGATGTTTTGGTTGCTTGGAGCTTCAGAATTCGAGATTTATTTATTTGTAATTAGAGCTTGTTTCGAAAAAATTAGAAATATTAAAGTAGAACATAATAATGGTACGTAGTAGCATTAGTGGTTTTTGTTGCACAGTTGTTGATGTTTAAGCCGTTTATTTATAACTAATTTTCATCCAGATGTTTTAGATATAGGGGTGTGCCCGCAATGGGTCCTTCAACCCACCACCAGAGTCCACCTGCTTCTCAGCTTGAATTCAGGTTGAACGAAATGAATCGCCGGTTGTTTATATTTAGTAATAGTGGCGTAAGTAGTTTTTTTTATTCTGATTCTGTATGGCTTCTCAGTAACACTTGAAATAGTTTTTTGAAGCTTGTTATGCTGCAGTTTTTAACGTTGCCTTTACCTGCAGTTGCTAATATATGAGGTTTAGATTCAGGATAAAGATTATGCGCAGTGGTGGGATGCGTTTGCCCACGAGTTCTTTGACGATGATGCGCGAATGAGTTTTACTATTTTTGACGAACAAAATCCAGGGCGCTCCCATCGTTATGGTTATTTGTTTTCTGACCCGTTTTTTTCCTCAGCTTTGGTTTTTCTTTGTTTTGCTCGTTGCGAAGCGATTTTGATACTGTAGAGCCCGATATAATATTAAATTTCAACTCATGTTTAGGTTAGGGTAGCTTGTAAGGGTATTTCTTTTTCATTCATTTTCAGCTATTGGACGTTTACTGATACCGCGGTACTTTCGGACAGTGTTTGGAAGCGGTGTCAAAGAAATGTATTATGTTTTGAGGGCTATAGTTCGTGAGTCCTCTGGCGGGTTTATGGCATATTGTGAGTGCGATAATTTGCTGATTGTGACAAAACATGAAAAGCCTTTTCCGTCAGAGGTAGATATGAAGTTTTCTTTTTTGTGTAGATTTTATTTATGGATAAGTTTACTCATTCAATGCATTCACCTTTGTTGTCTAGAAAACGTGAATTATTAGAGTGGTTAAGGGCTGATGTTTCGTTCACCAATATTTTTCTGTTTTCTGTGTCAAATTTTACGTCAGTTTTGATCTTTATTGAGCTCGGAAGTGTTTTAGGTCCAAACGGAGTGCAAACTGATGTGCGAGTTTATTTATGATGAAACTTACGGTCATCGAGTTAGGCACTGGAACATAGAAATGAGGCAGTGTCAGGAATATGTTCTTAGGGATCCGAACATGGTAAGTATTTGGACGGTATATTATTGTATAGGTAGGAGCATTTTGAGCCATAGTTTTTTACACGGTATTATTTGTTATGAGAGGTTTGGATTGCCAAGTGTTGTCTGAGTTCTGCATATTCAGTATATAGTTCTCGGAAGGCATGTATTCGATTTTTTTTTCTTTTGCTGCAGGAGACGTTAATCGTTTAATTGCAGTTACAGGATAATGAAACGCAGGAGAAGATGAAGAATAGTATTACAATCACTGGGATGACTTCTGTTACTCTTAACTACCTCAAGCTTTGCGTTATTTTGGAACCAATGCAGATCCTAATGAGTCAGAGTAAAACTCATAATGTAAGCTAATGTAATATGTTTTAATGTGCATGTGATTTCTTACTGCCTATTATAAAAGCCTTACCGTGATTTTGGTTCAGATTACTCCAAACGAGTCGCTTAGGCAGACACTTTTTGAGTACCATTCGAAGTATCAACAGATGCAACGGCAGCAACAGCAACATCAACAACAAATGGCGATGAACGCAATGAGTAAGCTTTGAAGATTTCCTCATGTCTTCTTTGTTTACTTAGAGTTATTACTATATTTTGAGCCGAGGAAAACTTAAGTGTTTGCAAAACATACTTTGCTTATTAATTTCCTGTTTTGTTTACCGCTTTAGTTTCAGGATTTAAAATTGCAGGTGCAATGAATCCCCAGCACCAAATGCCACCAACCCCCGTAGAAGAACCAATTACAAAGAAGCCTCGTAAACGCACTAGAAAAACAGCGGGAACTGCCGGGGCTCAAGGCGCTGGGTCGAAAAAAAAGAATAACTCGTCACCAGCGCCGAATGCAGCTAATTTTCAGGGCAGCTCTCACGTAAGCATTCTTTCTTTGTAGAGGTTCATTACGGTTCCTAAAGTAGCGAATGCTTTTTTACGGGTTTGTTGCAGTGCGTGTTAATTTTCAACGATAAATTGTTGATTCTATCGTTTTAGTTTTTCCCTATCAGTTTTTTCTATTATAGTACCATGTTCCCTACCAAGATGTCATGGTTGTTGGGGAACCCTCAATGATGGGTGGGGATTACGGTGAGGAAGATGAACGAACCATTTCGCGAGTGGAAAATACGCAGTATGATCCAAATGCCATGCAAAATCACATGGGGAATATGTCGCAGTCAATGAATCCATCGATAACGCCTCTGGGAGGCCCGCCTAACCAAAGTAAGTGGTAGTTTTATTTTTATTTTTTTCGATTTTTTTCGCTCATTATTAGTGCCGGTGTTATAATCAGTTTTTGCTTTTTTGTTCTTTAGGCGTCAGTTGGCTGTAGTAGAAGCTCTACATTTTTAGTTTTATCTTCCTTGTCAGATAGTGTGTACTCGTGAAGGATCTGTTTTGTTTTTATTCATTTCTTTTTTTTTCAAATTTTATTTTCTCATTCAGTAAATGAAACTATATGTTGGTTCAATTAGTTAATATGATTTAAAATAAACCTTTTCTGTTATTAGTTCACTTTGAATAGAGGAAATTACCATTCAGGTTAGAGATAAAGGGCCTGGTTTTTGCTTTAGTCTGGTCTTGTGTAGTGGAGAGCTTTTTTGATGGAAACCGTACATTTCCTTTCTGTCAAGATAAGTTCAAAATTACAATCATCTCAGGTTTTAAAAAATGAATTTTTACTTACGATATACTGCAATTTTAGTTTTTACCTTTCTTACTCCTTACAGAATGGAGGTACGAACGGTTTTTTATTATTTGATAGTTTCTTTAAGGTTTTTCCTTCATTTATGTTCGGGTTTGTAGTTATACTTTCATGTTGCTCTGTGAAGCGGTTGACAAGGCTTATTTGAGTAGCCTTTCAGCTTATATGAGTGGGTTCGAAATGTCGTCAGTCAGTGATTGGGGTGTGGGTGGAACCGGACAGGTACCATCGTCTGGTGCACCGCCTGTAACCTGTGGTGCAAATCTTGGTGTTTCGGCACCGATTGCGGCTTGTGATTTGCAGCAGTCATAGTGCTGTTGTTGGTTCCTAAGATGAGCTGGTACATTTTTCAATACGCTTTGTCTTCATTTTATTTTTTTAATTTTCTTTACACTGTTCAGAACTATCGCTTCAGAATTTAGGGGTCTTTAACAAATGCCAATTAAGTCTTTGCTGTACTCACTGTTCTGTCATTTTGCTTAAAGTTGCGTAATTCCTTCCTACGGTTGTTTCGACTTCTGTCTGAGTCGGATAAAGGGGTTTCAAGATCCGGCAAGCTCTCTTCTGTTCCATTATCAATATTTATGACTGCTGCTTTCCTTCCTGTCTGTACCTCCCTTTCCCCTTAAAAAGGTAACCAAAAAATATTTTGTTCAAATTTGAATCATTTTTTCCTTTTTTTTTTTTGGTTTAGTACTTCAAAATTGTTTCTCTTCTGTTCTGGCATAACTTGTGTTTTTGTTTGGTTCTTCAAGGTTTTACTGCATGTTGCACGTAGCCTTTGAGGTTCATTCTAAATGCAGCGAAGTTGCATGTTCCCCTTTTCTGTTTATTCCTTTGTGGAGTGGACTTAGCTTTTTTGGTTTTTCTTTTTTGTCTTTTCTTTTGCTTATTATTATTTTGCAAAATAACAATAGCAGCAGGAGCAACTTGACAATATTTTGTTTCTTGATCTTTGGTACTGTAGATCTGGGTTTTCAATTTTGAATAATTTCCATCTATCGTTCGTTCATTATGCAACATTGTGTTCTATATATGCCTATTCAGATTTTCAGACATAGTGCAGCCTGGTCAGAATACAACACGACGGAAAACTTCGGGTGCATCGCTGTCTCAGCAACCAAGCGCTGTGCCACAACGAGCATATGGAGTCAGTTTGGAAACCTTCAGTTAAAAATAAAAAGGAAAGAAAAATCTGTGCTCTGTTAATGAGCTTAAACCTCAATTTTTGCTATAATTTGCGAAGATTTTTAAATTTGGCTCAGTGAAAAAATATACTTATGCGATTCGACGTCTTGGGTTTCACTTTATTTTTGACCCGTTGTCAGATAGTGTCTTCCAAACTTGTGTTTTCTATACTTGTTTTTATTTTGATTATATTTGTCAAATGTTGCTATGCCTTCACATTAGGAAGTTTTGTTGGTTTTACCCTCGTATTTTTTTGGGACTGTTCAGCTGTGTGTATTGTCAGAGTAGCAATGTACAGTTTTTTCGTTTCTTTTTATTTCTGAGGTAGACGCAGTTGGTGGGAATTTAATGGTGTTTGCCTCAGCAAAGGACCTTTCTGTATGTTTGCCATAATTTTATCATTTTAGTGTGTTTTAATACTTGGTTTCAATACTCAGAACTTGCAGCATATTGTTTGTACTCAAAGCGATTATTCACTTCGACTTCTTTACGAATTTCAAATTATACATGTTCTCGCTGGTTATGTTCTTCTATGTTCTGTAATATTGATGTTTAGTTTGGAATCTAAAGTATCTCGTCTGCCTAGCTTTGTTCATTGGATTTAGCTGGTGGGCATGAATCGTTGAGGTAAGGATTTTAGTGTTCCAAAAAGTTGTCACTGTTGTTTTTCCATATTGTTCGTTTTTTTTTTTTTTTCTGTATGTGTGTGTTTAGAGGTTTTAGTATTGTTAGATGCTGTCTGTCTTTGAGTAATAAGCTTCTTTGGATATCGCGAAGGGGCGGACCAGTAATGGTTTTGAAATTTTCACATCTGTTAATTGTTGAGAATTTATTTTGATTTTTAGTGGTTAGAGCGGGATTTCGTCAATAATTTTGCTTCAGTGAAGCTTCCTTGTGTCACACCGTGGGTTTTTGGCTTAATTAAAGTACTGAGGAGGGTTGAGAGTATTGTAGAGGGAGCTGGAAAGGAGAGAAATTAGACGGTTGGAAGTCACAGGAGGGTTGGTGACAGAAGGCCGGGGAAAAGTGGAGAGCTTGTTTGTAATCTTAAGTGAGGATTGTTGCTGAAGCAGCACCCGATACTTTCCAGGGAGTAAGACAGAGAGAGGCAAGGAAGGAGAAGAGCTAAATAAGATAGAGACGAGCTTTTATTTTGCTGTAGAACTGTATTGATTGCATTTTGTATACATCGCGTAGATACTGCATAGATGACGATTCGGAATTGCTTAATTTATAAAACTTCTTTTTTTCTAGATTTTTAAAATTTTTTCTCCGCAATTTTGGTGCAACGTGCAATTGTCACACTCAATTCGCGTTTGACGGTTTCGTTTTGTTTCGTTGTCATTGTTACAGTTTTATGTGATTGTTTTCTTCTCTCATAAATGCTGTTGGGACATAAGCATAGGCGTTTCTCATTTGTTTTGTTCTTACGTTCTGTCTCCAGATGATTTCTTTTTTTCCAATCTTTTCCTTCTTTTCTGTTCTTTTTTTTGTTGCTACTAAGCCAGATATTGTTATATTGTTTAAAAATGGTTTACTAACGGTTCAGATAAGGACGTGTTGGACGAGTTAGTAACGGAGTCTTATCTGAACTACACTAGGGCAGGAAATTGTGTTGACAGGTGCTAAGTTAAACAAAGAAAAGAAACTATTAAAACTTTATAGTAACTGCTGACCAGAATTGTTAATGCCTATGTTCCCGTATTTGTACAAATAAAAAACAGGAATAATGCAAATAAATGAAATATTTATTGCTGCTTTGGAATACAGTGGACAGCAACGATAGCAGGCGTGGGCCACTATTTTCAGTTTGTGACTTTCAAGGGAGTGAAGGGCTGCACCGTTATTAAGGTGTCTGACTAGTCTGGAATGTTCCTGACTAAGGCAGCTGTTTCAGTTGACAGAGCTGCAAGTTGGCGCTACTGGTTGTGTTATTTGTATACTGATGAAGTCTGGGACGTTTCTTTTAAAGGCGGCACTTAAGAGTGTATATAAGTGGGGTAATGATGATTTTAAAGAATGGCAAAGTGTTTTTTAACCGATGCAGTTGTCACTCGTTGCGCCACTTATATAGTTGCCGAGACTGCAACAAATATGTTTCTTCAAGCGCGGAGTTTCCGGTCAGTCTACGGTGCCCTGTATTAATGGAATATTTAATATATTTTCAGTACAAACTTATCGTTAGGTTCAGTGCACTGAGTGCGACATTTGCGTCATGCATTACAAATGTTGCCTAATAAAATTTGGCTTTTGTGGAGGTTTGACACCAGTTGCAGAACAGTAATCATTGTGTAGTGAGGTGGTGAGGTTCTTGCTGTT